GTGCCACGAAGTGCGCATACATACATACATACATACATACATACATACAACATACATACATACATACATACATACATACATACATACATACATACATACGTACGTACATACATACATACGTACATACCTACTTACCTACACACATGCAGACACACGTGCATACCTCCATACAATCAACATACAACCCCATGCACCCATACTTGTACATATACATGTGCATGTACATATACGTATACGATACCCACAGCTACACGTACAGACACTTTTGGCTGCGCAACGGTAGCAGCAGCACTAGTGATAAGTTTGATGCGAACAGCAGCGGCGAGAGCGCAAACCATGATACATAGACCCCACCCTCGTCGCAGCCATTAAGTTGCGTCGCTGAGCTTGAAGTTGGTGTGGTCTACTGTGAGTGGATTCGAGCCGTCATCTTCGTAGAATCTTGCACAATGGGAACCAGTCTGTCGTTCGCCCTACAAGTAGCAGTGACGCAGTACACAGTTCTCGGGCCCGTTCGGGATCCGCGCGCGTGTGTTCCGACATGGTTGCTGGTGCCTGTTTCAGGTTTCCGGATACACAGTGCAGTCCTTCATTTCCAAGTTCAAGCAGCAAGTGTTGAAGACCCACCAGTTTTGAAAGCCGCGATTGGCTGCAGGAAGGCGTCCTCCTCCGCCCACTTCAGACTCTTATTACACTTCGAGCCATGGTGCTGAAGCTCCTCCTCCCACTAGTGATGGCTGCAGCCGGTGTACGTCGAGAGGATGTCCACTCCGTGGTTCAAGTTCCGATTGTGTCCTTAGGCGTAGGCACCCGCCTTTATTCCTGCCAGCAGCACCGGTTGGATCCTCACCGGGCCTTATGGACAATCCTGGCTACTGCATAACTGTCGAGAATGCTGCGGAGAGGATGGCTAAAATGGGTTGGCCAGGTGAGCCAGGGGACAGGCCAGTTCGATCCGAGTGCGAGTTATGCCAAGGTGTGGCAGGTAGTGCGTCCATGCAAGATGGTCTTGGCCGATGGCAAGAACAGCAGTACTCTCACAGCCCGTTTTGGGCAGGGTGCAAGCTTTGAGCATGCAGAGACCCTTAATTTGCCGAACTGGCGGGATGAGCTAAAATCTGAGCTCGGGTCTGAACTATTGAAACGAGACGGTGTGGTGCAGTGTGATTCTGGCATCGATGTGGCCGTGTTCCATGGCATTGCAACGAATGGCACGCACGCATGCATTCAGCAAGTGGAGCCTGATCGGTTACCAACTGCTGCAGAATTGAGACAGCAGCAGCAAGCGCGTTATTCGCGCACGGGCTGTGATCGTTTCACCTGACCTTTGCGACAATGTGATGCCACATCGCTCTGAATGCAGGGAAAATGTCAAAGTCCATGTCGAAGTACCGAAGACTTTTGGACACCAAACCAAGGCCAGTATTGACAGTTGCATTGTCGGAAAAAAACTGCGCGGCTTGCTGAGGTTGCAGGTGGCCTTCGTGAGGGGCGGGTAGGGAGGGTAAGGGCCGGGTGTGTTCCACCAGGATCATGGCATGTCCTTTACCTTCTACGGGCCTTTTTCCGAATCCCTGCCTTTTGCCTGGGACCGATAGGTTTTAGGGTTCCTTGAAGGGTTTCTTGCAAGGGGAACGGTTCCGATAATCACTATAAGGGTTTCAGTTCTTTGAGGTCGGAAGGGTTTTGGTGCTGGGGGTGGTTTCTGTGATTTTGAGATTGCAGACTCCAATGCAGCTCAAGAATGTGAGAGTTTGGCGATTGCCCTCTTCGAAACCGCAGCACAGCCAAGAGCTGCCAATGAACCGTCAAACATGTCTGAAAATTTAAGCCGTACATCCGAAACTCTGTGTCCTACAGCCCCCAAGAGCTCTGTAGGCCGAGCAGATGACGGATGCTACGTTTCAGCCCAATGCTGAGCAAGCTTAAACTCGCGTTCTAGTAAAGGTTGAGGGTTGAGGTTTATGGCTCAGTGGTTGTAAGCTTTCAGGCTTCAGGGCTTGTCAGGGCTACGGATTTTTGGGTTTAGGGTGCGGGAGTTTCAGGCCTCATGGCGCAGTGCTTTGGGGACTGTTGTGTTTCGTGCTGGGCTAGAAGCTGAGGATGCTGAGAGAATCTGGTTCATGGGCTTAGGTTGGGAGGCGGGGGCGTCCTACTTGAGAAAAAAGTAAGACGTCGATATTTCGAAATGAGACATAGACGTATAGGTATACAATAGTTATGTATTGGTTGTATATATATATATATCTGCGTATATATGTATGCATGTATTATATGTATGTATGCATATATGTATGTATGCATAATATATATATATATGTATATATATATATGTATATGTAAATGTATGTGGGTGATGGGATTGCTGTTGAGTTGGGGATTATTCGACCCTGCCCTGCATGTGAGCATTGTTTGGAGAAACCCTGTACCCTCGAAGCATGAGCCATAAGCCGTCGACTCTGCATCTTAACAACAACTCCAAGCCCTGAATCCTTGAAGCGGAGCGAAGCGTTCAACTTGGGTAGTCCTCCTACTCCTTGCTTCGGTTGCACCGGGTCCCTGCAATAAGAACAAGCAGCCACAGTAATCAGGCAGGCTTGCGGTCTAAAATTTTTAGGCTTCAGGAAGTAACGCTACTGGCGAAGGTCGTGGTACTAGGAGTAGTGCATTTTCTAAATTAGGCATGCCAGGTCCAAACTCAGGAAGTCTAAGCTGGTGTGGGCAACCCCGCTCCCCGCACCCTCGATAATATCCCCCCTTCTTTGCATGCCGACATCCCCGCTTCTCTGTGGAACGGCTTAAGCCTTGAGGTTTTCACGGGCCGGCGAATTTCTTCTAACCGCCGTGTCCTCTCGTCTCATACATTTAATGTGCGGAGGAGCCCAGATGCATGGGCTTGGGAGACAGAGCTCTAACCCTGTGCAAGCATGCATGGCCGAAACGATTGGCCCTAATGTACGACAGACTGACAGAGAGAGAGGGAGAGTAATTTAAATTTACTCGATTTCACAAACATGCATGCATACATGAACAGTCGGCTCTCATGAGCACGTGAGGTCAGCCTGGCCCAACTTCGAGTTGTAGCTCAAGGAGACAGGCAAGGCGGTCTTCGGGTCAAGACAAAAGGCTGTTAGGAGTTTCGTTTCTATCATAGCTTGTTAGGAATTAGCAGCAGCGTAAACTGGCAGCCTGATGCTTATTTTTTGTACTTGTTTATATTTGACAACTTCTTCAAGTCTAGGACCTGGGGTTTAAGTTTATGCTTGCGTTATGTTTTCTTTCATTTTCTCCAAGGACTTTCGGGACATTTGCCCCGATGTAGCTCTGAGGGTTTAGCCAGTTCGCCCCAGGCCACGAGCTTGGAGCTTCGGAAAAACTTACTGACCCTTCAAGATCGAACCCTACTCGGCATGTTTGATCCTGATGGTAAGGGCCCCCCCGATAATAAGGAAATTTAAGCGGGCTGATCTGGACTTCTAGGGTTTAAGATTTAGGGCAAATTTAGGGCTGTTTGGGACGGGGTTGTTCTGAGCCTTACCGATTGGAGTTCGGCATTGCTGTGAACACACGATCACAACAAGAATCAGCAGGCATGTATGCATCTGAAAACCTCGAATGTCCCAGACTCGAAACCCCGAAGCAGTTCCGTAACACAAAGGCATGAGTACCCGGCCCTACTTCTGTGCCGTAACCACCGAAACCCTAAACCTTAAGCCTTAAACAGAAAGCCCAAAACCCAGAAATCCTTGTCTCGTACGTTTGTGCAGGATTCCTTTCGTCCTCGCGTTCGAGGAGTTTGAGCTTATGGCCCGTGTGGCCGTCGAGTCCAGAGAAAGCGAAAAACCCGGGTGCCGTTCCGTCTCGCTGTAGGCGTCAGGTAGGATTTTAGTGGTTAGGGCTTATCCTGAAGATTGGGACCCCGATATGTCCAGGCTGTGTGGGCTAGCGATAACGCTCCAACCCCGGCTGCAGGTGGAGCGTAGGTGCAAGGGTCTTGGTATCCGGAAAGGCCACGGCTCACGTCTTGGCCGGAAGTCTGACGTCCTCAAACCGAAGACCCGTTGAATGCCCAGAGTTGTCTTCACTCCCCACATCCAAACAAGTTGCACCAATCTTGAATAAGCCCTGAGCCTAATATGCATCGGGCATCTTGCCGTCCCCGAAAGAGGGTACGAGGTAAAACGAACAGGTGGCGCTTTTTGTATTGGGCACACAGCATTCGTTGTTTTTTTGGGGTGGCAGGTTTCGGGGTCGAGCATGCCGGTCAAACAACTGAGTGTAGTCTCATCATCTCGACGCCATGAGCCCCATGCCTGTAGCTCACTTGGCTGCTTTTACCCTTGTTCTCCCTAGTTTCCACGAAACTTTCAGTGCGATCATGTGAACAAACCTGTTAAGTTTGGGAGGGCTCTGGATCTTGGCATGTATAGGCGGATGCCTGCTGAAGCCGAGATGTCGCGTTTTCAGCACGCAGCATCGCTGGCTCCATATTCTAGGAACTGTCGAGGCATCCAAGCACTGGTCCAACCTCGACAAGATACGAAGCCCGAAGCCTGAACTCCACAGCCCACAGACCCCACACAGCCTGAGACCTCAAGGCAGGTTGCGATAGCACCCGCGTAGGATCCGCTTGACGTTGGATTTGCAATGATTTGCACATGAAAATAAGGTCTTACAGGCTGGTGACCTTGTGGGAGTAGGGCTTGGAGAATTACAATGCGTGGTACGCTCATCGGCTCAACATGGCAAACCCTTGATGCGCAAGCTGAGGGCTCATCCCTGCAGACAGGTTGTCCCTAAATCCTTAATAAGCCGCTAAGCCGCAGGGGGATGTAGTATCGACTCAGCGCTTTGGTTGCCGAAAGCATGCCGCTGCTGTTCTTTGCGGTGGCATCCACCTCTACGGAGCATCCATCCCAGGACCCCTGCACTTCGGTTGCAGCTGATGCGGGATTCTTGGGCTTATGGTGAGAATTCTAAAATATGCGGGTGGCCGCCAACCCAAGATCCAAGTTTAAGAGCCTCCGGCTCAAGCCGCCGACCCCGCAGGAGTGAGAGGAAAGGACGTTACATATGACGGAATAGAAGTAGTAGTAGTAGTCGTCGTCGTCGTCGTTGTCGGCGTCGTACAGTAGTAGTAGCAGTAGTAGTAGTAGTAGTAGCAGCAGCAGTAGTAGTAGTAGCAGCAGCAGCAGCAGTTAG